TCTGTCTGATGTAAACAGTCAAAAGTGAAGGCGACTCACCCACCGAGTCCATAAGAAAAACTGTACTTAACTCCCGAGTGTGTGTTTGAGTGTGTATGTGACTGACAGAGAGAGAGAGAGAGAGAGAGAGAGAGAGAGATTCACTTACACATGCACAGAAAAACAGACCTTCACAGTAAAAGTCCAGGAAGTAAAGTAGAACTGTTGTTTGACATGGATAGAGGGCTTTTATTTTGAAGGCAGAAGAAAACATGCAGTCAGTCCAGTCAAGTCACATGTTCATCAACAGTTACCTCCACATTAACAACTGTTGTTGTCAGATTAATCCCATTTTTGTGGGGAAATAAACCTGGACTGGACTCTGTGTTTTGGCTGAACATTTAGGACTACTATATATTAATACTATATTAATACTATATTAATACTGCAACAGGAGAACCAGATTATTGTGGATTAAAAAGGCTCAGCTCTTACCCTGCACAGCAGCGCCCTCTGGCTGGAAATCTGGTAAATGTCCTTCTGAGGGAACGCTGACCGTCCTGCGCAGACTTTGTCTCTTGGCCGAGTCAGCGGGACTTCCCTGAGCCTCACCCGTGACCTGGACACAGAGAGGGGACAGGGTTTGAGAATCAGGGAAAATTCATCCCTGGAGCATCAGTCACATGACCACGTCACATGACCTCATCTCTGACCTCATCATCCTTGGTGAGCAGCAGAAGTTGACTGTCTGTCAGGAGGCAGAACTTCCTGTCCCAGACCACGCCATCGATGTATGGACTCTGACCAGAGGAGAAGTGGTGAGTGGGGGGGCCCTTCACCTCTGAAACCACACATTTAGAAACTTTACCAGTTAGCTTTAGCACACTTTAGCACATTTAAAGACCTGTTGAATTCATTGTATTTTGTTCTGGTCATTTTGGCTGGTGACCTTTTCGACCCCAGGGACGTTGTTTTGTGTCGTCCTCTACCGACTCGTGTTTAGTCTGGTTGCAGCGCGAGGACAGAAGCAGCTTGTAGTTTGAACTGAAGGCGACCCTGAGTTTGAGCCACCTTTAGCTTGGACTCATGTTGAGCTGATTTTGTCTAAATGTTAGTTTTCTCTTTAGTCACATTTTAGTTACTGCTGTCTTTCCATTAGTGTGTGTGTGTGTGTGTGTGTGTGTGTCTATATAAACAGCCATGACAGACGTTCATGAATACAGTCAGCCATGAATCACTGACGTTCCAAGGGTTTATCAAAGACAAGACACACACACACACACACACTTCTTTGTTGAGCAAGTGTGATGTCACTGCTCTGTGATTGGACCAGAGCTGTTGTTGTATTTACTGGTTACTATAGAAACACGACCTGCTCAGAGGAGTGAACAAAGAGACCTGTGTGTCTGTGTGTGTGTGTGTGTCCTGCACAGTTCTACACTGACCCTCCAGATTCATCTGTCAATCAACAGACAGCAGGGGGCAGAGTACTGCAAACTACTTTAAAGAACTGTTTCAGGGTTTAAAACTTCAAAGCAGGTTTGACTCTGGACTGAGAGAACTCCTGGTCCAGGTCCTGGTCCAGGTCCTGGTCCAGGTCCTGGTCCAGGTCCTGGTCCAGGTCCAGGTCCAGGTCACTCACCTCACCACTCATCTCCAACTAACGAATGTCTTTGTGTGTGTGCGCGCGTGCAAGAGATACCTAACAAAGACAAGGTTGTGAGTAAAACTCCACAGACAGAACCAGAACCAGCAGGGACCACAGTGAGCCCCCTACAGACCAGTGAGTGGAACAACAACTGTCGTCTCTCGCTCCGTGCTAAAATCACACATTTTTTCTGAGGTTTTGTATGGCAGAGATTCACATGCTGCTGGGGTTTGACTAACATCAAAGTTACTCCCCTACAGCGCCCCCTGCTGTCACCTTTTAACAAGACAAGGACAAGCCTCTTTTCTGTTGACTCCATCCACACGCATCTATGTAATCTGAGTACAGCTCTCAAAGAGAGAGTCTGTTTGACTCAGATCTAGTTTGACTCAGATCTGTTCTGTTTGACTCAGATCTAGTTTGACTCAGATCTGTTCTGTTTGACTGACTCAGATCTACAGATCTAGTTTGACTCAGATCTAGTTTGACTCAGATCTAGTTTGACTCAGATCTAGTTTGACTCAGATCTGTTCTGTTTGACTCAGATCTACATCATCACTCTTCTTGATCCACCTTAGAAACATCGTTCCTGGGATGAGGGAATAAAGCAGCACAGACCAGAACTGATCCACAGTTGACCTCATCAATTCTTTCGGTTCCTCGGCTTTCCCTTATTTCTGGTTTTGGACAACAATTTTAACTTAGGTGCATCTGTAGTCGTTGTCATACCGATCTGCTCCCGGTCCCTGT